TAGTAAATAGTAATTTCTTATAAATGTTGAGAATTCTGTAATATGATACTGTTATCAAAACATCACCGATCGTTATAACGAAAATGCTGGCTTTTCAGAAAATAATCAAATGAAAAAAAATTGAGAAGAAGCAAAAAGCATTTGACAGCGGTGGGATTCGAACCCACGCCCTTTCGGACTGGTGCCTAAAACCAGCGCCTTAGACCACTCGGCCACGCTGCCTTACATTGAGCCGTGGTGAAATTATTTATCAGTATCATGCCTCACATGCATTATAAATATATACGAGTACAGTCAAGTCATTATTATGCTTTGAGTTATTTACAGTAACACATTGCCAAGATATGTGTGTTACTCAAGGCCAATAGATATCTCCCTTAAAAACAAATTATGCGCAGGTGATCGTTAACCATCGGGTGTGCGCCAGAGCCTAATTCAGAGCCTGAATTCTCATAAGACAAAAATATCTAATATCTTTCTTTTTACGCTTTTCACAAGCACATAGATAGATAGATAGATAAAAAACTCTTTATTTGTACACCGTATTACAAAATAGTATAGTTCATAACATGTCAGTCATACTGTACAAATGGCATCCTCATTGCCAAGAGCAATCTCTTCCAGACACACTTAGGATGGATCAAACTGTTTTGGAGAGACAGTAGTAGGTGAAGGTGCAATGAGTTTTGACAGGTTAAATGCTAATTAATAGAAAAGGGGTAAAATTATATAAATATATGCATATAAACACATATTTATACATACCAACAAATGCACATACATACATAGCTATACCTACTTAATATATATCAGAAGTAAATAATAAATTTATTTATTTTAAATACATTATTTAATTCAAATACATAAAAGTCATGAACCATTTTCTTGAAACTATTTATTCTTTGCGCTCGCCTGATGTTTATCGGCAATGCATTCCACAAGCGTGCAGCTTCAACAGTAGGAAACATACATACATATTTGTACAGAAAAATAGTAAATTCAGAAATATTGTTCACGTTGGTTTTCAAACATTCTTCCGATCTGTATAAACTTGGCAGAGTGACATCTATCGTAATATGTTGGAACTACTAACACAGTGACAGGTCTGCGACACATGTGCTCTCGGATTCGTACTCATATAAACCAAAGCTATCATCAAAAACACTCACGCAGAGTTACCTACGTCTTTATCTCCGACGGGGTAGCCACAGGCAAACTCATAATAAATTTATATGCTAAGCTGATCTTTGTTACAAAAAAAGAAAATTTCGAGAGTAGGCACTCATAATCCGTCAGCGGAGGAACGGAAGGATGGTGTGTGATGGATGGTTTACATGCTGCACAGTAACGAGTTTTAACCGTGGATTTAAAGTACGAGGGTGACCGCTGCTGCTCACATAAATTCCAAAAATGCAAACTTTAATGCAGGTAGTAGTGGATGAGGCAATGCCGTTCCTCACTAGAGGGGTGGAGTTTAATCTCATCTTCGAGAACAAAATAAATATCTCGAAGCTGTATAATAAATGTTTCCCTCATCTTCATATTTCCTAACATACACTCAAATATCGCAAAACCGTATTTATTTATGTAAATCAAAAATTATAAACATTTTCTACTGAAACGCGTGCGCAGTGAATAACTATGCTCGTCATAGATATTCACTAAGCACGTGTTTCGATTTTCAATAAACCTTTTTTTAAACTCCAGGGTTAGATGGTACCTACCTAACATAAAAAAAAACATTTTTTATTTTATACATATGACATATTATGTTTATTTATTTTTATTATGAATATTGAGTACTATTTACAGCTGGATATTTAGGAAGAGAAGTTTTATTGGTTGTAAAATTAAAATAGGAAATAAATAAAACACAATTTTGTTCATAATATCCTGTATATTTACCTAGGTGTAAAGGAGAATATTTACAAGGTGGACATCGATAGTTATGTATATGCTTATCCTAACCTAGTCTCCTTACATTAGAAAAAAAAAATGAGATTATTAAAAAGAACCGAATCGTTTTAAGCATAAAGTTCATTTAAATCGACACAATATACAATTATTTCATTAGCCTCTCTATTATATTAAAATGTTAATGGATTATTTTAGATAAAAAACATTATTTGGATTAAAGACTTCAATATAAAATAAAACATTGTTTTCGATAAAGTATATCGTTTTCGAATGGTTAAGGTATTGCTATAAAGATTCTCCAGGCGTTTGGTTAGTTATAATCACAGAAATCGTAATAATATTATATTATTACGAAATCGTAAATAATAAGATATTATTACTAAATCGAAATAATAAGCTATTATTACGATTTTTATGATTACAGTCAAAATGTATTAATTAAAACCGCTATGTACTTGCTTAACAGAAAAAAAAATCAATTGTCTATTATTCTTTAACTTTCAAAAACTTAATTAAAGTGGATGACTGACAAGTATACATAACAAAAAATAATTGCTAGAAAGTTAGCATGACAACAAACACGTCCACTTATCATCATTAAAAAAACATTACCCTTGACATCCTCTGTTGTCTTTCTCTTTTTGGTAGTAAAGAAAAAGACAGAACAAATTTTATTACATAATTTGGAAATGGTAAAAAAAAAACATAAATTCTATTCGATATTTAAATTTAAACGTTGTTTGGTTAGATTTTATTACAGTGGCAACACCACGTATACTGTCAGATATGTATGTCAAGCGAGATGACGTTAGACGTCAAAATATAACACGTTCTAGTTAATAAAACTTCGAATACCAACATGAAATGAAATATTATTTTACCCTCGGTAAAAAGACAGGGACATAAATTATAGGTCTTTTTTAATATTATTAAGTTATGAATATTTGAACAGATTTTAATAAATAATTTATTAACTAGAACGTATTTCTTAGCATGTTAATGTATTGTCAATGCGATATATGTTGTATGCATAAAGCAACAGAAGTATATCCTAGAACAAAGCTGCAACGGAGTTGATTTAAACTAGTTATATTTGGTTATACAATATTTTTATCGTATAAATTATTCAGTTTTAACACCTAAAGAATTTACAGTTACAATGTACAAATTTCTTATACTAATGAGCTGCTCAGCTCACTACAGGGTAAAAAGGTTACCGATCTGATAGGAATGTATTTTAGATTTTTCTAGAAAGTAACTGCTGTAGTACATATATTTAGAGGTGTTTAAAAAGTGTTAGTTGAAAGTTCAATAAAATTCGCATTTTGATTACGAATATATTTTTTTTTGTAAATTCAAATGCTGTCAAAAAAAACCAGGAGTTTGTAATGTCGATAAATATAATATATAAAGTTACCAACAATTTTTATATGAACCTTTTCAAAGTAATTTCTTTTTTTTAAAGTTTTCAAGTTAATATGTCACATGTATGCAGTTTTATTCTAGAAAAATCCACAGCAAGAGTGTATCCCAATAACTAGGTTACTAATGAAATGTCCAAATTCTGACCGTTTCATATATGTAAATTACACTCAGTAGCACATTTATAACCCATTACCGCACTTAACAAATATAGATATTCCAGTTAATTAATGAAATTAATAATATTACACTTCTCTATTTCATAATTTCTCATAAATTACAGTGTTCAATTATAATTTCTATTTCAATAAATTAATTGACATAATGTGTTACTTAAATTAAACTAAATTAATTGAATAACACTGGCGTACAGATTTTGCACATTTCTAAAGTTTCGCATCATATGTGTAGTATTTTTAAATTAAATAGGATAATAACATTATCGATGTGGGTGATATTGTTTTACCTAATTATATGTAAGTTTTTTTCTATAATTTATAAACTATGCATGGTTTAGAAATGTACAGAAAACTTCGCAGACAAGTTAGATTACTGAAGATGGCACAAAGGATAATTATTAATTATAAAATCGTTGCACAACCTATTTTCAGAAGTAAAAATCAAGTAAAATGAGATTAGAATATCTACAACTAAATTAGGCTGAAATTAATAAGACATCTAATCTAAAATATGTAGATTTACAAAAACATTGATGACGTTTATTTATTTCAATTAAGAAAATATATTATCAAAACATTTTAACTTAAAAAAAAAAACCATTCAAAATTGCATTTGACATTTCATTTGATATTAGATTAGATTGATTATTAATTTCTATGTAAAAACATTAAAAAGATAGAGATACCTCAATTCCTAACATTATAAAACCCATAGTGATAACAAGAAACCTTATAAAATTAGTGCCTTAAAAAGTTAAATGTTACATATTCAGTTTAAAAACATATTGAAATATCATTGTCATAGACAACAGAAAATAAAAACAACACATTACACTGCTTCCTAATTTAGAGAGTTCAATCTAAAGAGACACACACGTACATAATTATTTTACAAGTAATAGTCGACCTTATGGACGTGTCCACAAATTATATAATTGAGACAACAAAGATTCGTAGTCTTTTCGAAGCGAGTTGACAAGATAGAGTTGAAGGTAAGCGGATGGCACAAAAATTCATTTTTACAGAAACAATACAAGATCAATCATTCAGAATACATACGAACCACTTCTCTCTAGAGACATCAATATATCATTATACAAATGATTAAAAAACTTGGTCTCAAAGATGATAATTTCAATATAACTTTTTAAATTTTTATTCCTGTCAATGTCGTTCTGACAATATTTTGCATTTAATGTATCAGGCTGTACATTATGTTGTACAATCCGTACTCTACAATTTATTATGTCAAATATTAAATAAATAATTCATCGATCGTAATTGTTAAATTAATCACAGAACAATTTTAGCCACGTCAATAAAATAATTCTGTTGTTTCGTTCCCACGCTTTTCAAAATGTATGGTGTGAAAAATTCGAAATTTAAAAAAGGAATGGGCAGGCCATTCGAGTATGGTGAACCGGTCAGTCTAGGCGTGCCCGCCGACTAGTTGATACGTGGCGTTGATTGCTCTGTGTCTTCTCACGCGTAGAACTCGCGGTTATTATGCCCCTTCCCGTACGATGCTGCGGCAGGGCTTCTCTTTGGTTCGTCGAGTGCGTACGAACCTTCGTCCTTCTTACGCATACGATACACTATAAACATTACTACCAGGATTGCGCATAGGAGCCCGACCACTGCACCGCCAATCACAGCTGGAATGTACAAACAATAAACACATTATGAAATACATGAAGTACATACATGAAATTGTAAATAATTATAATAAAACAATACTACAGGCGTTGACTTTTATACTATTTATTAAAATATTAGGTATTAAAATCAACACAATTAGAGAGTGTTTTCTATTTAACGATGTACCTGTAGGAAGTTTAAGTGCAGGTTCTTTATTCTTTAAAAAAAAATGATATAGCAGAATGCATTTTTTTTTAAAACAAATACAATTGGAAAATACATAAATGTTCAAATTACATACTACTAATTTTGACTCTAAAAACTACTTATTTTAAAAGTTTTTAGGGTACCTAGTTAGTTGGGATAAAGTTATGGAACTATAAAGTACCACAATATTTCACTTCCTATTCTTATTTTAAACATGTTTTTTTCTTTTACTATCAAATAGATGCAAAATATTTTTCGTTCGGTGTTTAAACTTTTAAATACAGTATTCAATTCAATTCCTTAGTTGTTAAACTGCGTAGTTTGGGGGTCTAGATAACCTGTGTTTTAATGGCTCAGGACAATATTGTTAATATAACCTGTTGGGCTACTGGTTAAGAATCCTGACGACTAAGCCAAATATATTATATTGGAAGTTTATAAGTATTATTTAGTTTATAATTATCACACACATATCTAAATACTACCTACGTCATTTAAACCTGCAAAGTGGGATACTTATATGAATATAATTTTACGAGAATTGCAATTGTGTACATTTGTGTACATTAAGAAGGCGATACGTACCCGCAAGAATGCCCGGCTGCGCGAAGAAGCTAGCTGCGCGATCCTCAGACTTGGTGTTCATGATGAATACTTTGTCTGGCACACGAGACTCGGAATTCACGCTTGTGCCAGATGGCTGTTGATCCTGAAATGTTACAGAACGGGGTTATACAATATTGTTTCAATTACGGAATATTAGTAGGTCCAGAGGCGTAAAGAACAAAATTATCTTAACATTGTATTCTTCATTGGTTAATCCGTTTCATTAAAGTCTATCAAAACAGCGAAAACTTCAATGATAGACATCGGATTTTTTTTTAATTCCTTGACACAGTCAAGAATCACGACGCGATATCTATACTCAGAACACAATGGTTTCAAGTAAAGTTACTCTGCATTTGGCAGCATTAAAACAAATGCCAATCCGCAATGAAAATAACATTTTTATAATTGTGTTAAAAATTATCGCACCGCGTCCTCAACAGCTTCCTGACTGATGACTTACTAATGTAAATGTTGGGAGTAACCCTGAATGTATTATTAAATGATAAGTAAAAAATTAATAATGCCGAAAATGTAGTATGCCATACTTTAGTATGTAATTAATTTCTTAATAATTTTAAACACTATATATTTAATATCAAAACACGGGCATTAAAGCTTATTTATTTTGACGGTATAGGGGGCTAAGCGGGCAGACGGGTCACCTCATAGTAAACGACTACCACCGCCCATTGACATCTGCAACTTAGAGTCACAAGTGAATTCAAGCCGTTTGAATCCCTCCTTCCCATAAAATCAGCGAAAGAATGGGTTAACCAAGGGTTTCTGTGAGACCGTGGCATAACTGCAGTGGAGCCGGCCCATTTGTGCCGATGTATGGCTCTCTATGAAGTGCCTGATGCTGTTAATCACGGAACACGAAAATTTAAAAGTCATTAAATAAAACATACGTATTAGCTACTTTACAGAGGTTTTGCATACGATTTTATCACTGCAAATCATGTATAGAAATACTTAAGCAATCATTTAAATAACAACTCTGAAGGCGGAATCGTCGTTTGATAATATTTCATTTTATTACTGGGCTGTCATTTATATGCTAAAACTAACTGACCCGGTAAACGTTGTTTTGGCATTTACATTATTTCTAGAAAATATTGAAAAAAAATTTAGGGGTGGGTCACCCTTGTCATTTAGGGGTATGAAAAGTGGATGTTAGCCGATTCTCGGACCTACCCGATGTGCACACAAAGTTTCATAAAAATCGGTCCAGCCGTTTCGGAGGAGTATGGTAACTAACATTGTGACTGAGAATTTTATATATAAGAAGATATTATATTCCTCACTACTAAATAAAATAATAATAAGAAATAGTGAGAGTTCTATTGCAACAATAGTTTTGGATTCTGGCAGTTTGAATTTAGAACTGTCATTTCTTGTGACGATTATGAAGAGTGTTGTAGCTCTTTTCTTTTAAGTAAATCAATAGCCACTTCAGCGACAATAATAAAGTGTTGCCATCCTGAAAAACGATGGCTGTTAATCAGGCTGCGTAGTGTAATATTTTCGCCTAATCGCCAGGGTTATTTCCACGACTGACTCCAATAGTTTTCGAAGTGTTTATAAGCAATAGATAACAACATTCTTTAATAACTACACATACATGTATGTTTGTTTAACAATTTGTTGAGCACACAAAGTTTTGTTCCATGTGGAGATGGAATCTACAACACTCAGCGCAGTATAAAACGGCCAGGTAACCGCTTTAATCACTACGCCATTCGTACAATCCGTCCCTTGTCCCTTATGTTTATTATTTATAACTTTTATATAAATTGTATACATACTACTGATGGCACAAGGTCTTCTCCAGTTATGCTGAAGTCGGTCTGATCTGGGCGTGGGGGTTGTTCGGCTCCTCCGTCGCGCCCCTGCACTGGAGGACCCTCTACGGGCCTGTTAGCTGTTTTTGCTGCAATTTTATAAAACACACTTAAGTTTAAATGTCCCATAATAGGTATATTTACGGCTGTACGTCCTAAAATTATTTATAGGAAGTTAATCAAGTTCTTATCAGTTTAAATTTACAGGAAAAATATCCTTTTTATATTCTAGAACATCCTTAACTAATCTGTTATGGGTACTAACCATAAAATAATTATAAAACACTTGATACTATGCACTTTTTCTCTATAAATATTGTTTCTAATATGTATATGTATTTATTTCTCATATATTTATAGATAGTTCAACTCAGTTGTGCGCGCGTCCCTATGTGTGCGTGGGCTTGTAAATATACAACTTTCATTAGTGTGGCAGTCGTCGTCCGTCACTGCCACACGAATGAAAGTTGTATATTTACAAGCCCACGCACACATAGGGCCGCGCGCACAACTGAGTTGAACTATCTATAACTACTTATCACTTTTTTGACTAGTTTTCCATTTGGCAAAGAATCAAGTTTTTATGCTTCGTAAATGTTCTTTTTATGTACTCGTATATGTATAATGGGATTACAAATATTATTTTAGGTATAAACATTAAATTTATTAAAAATATGTATCAATCATCATCATCAACAGCTTTAAATAGTCCACTGCTGGACATAGACCTATATTTATAAATGAGGTTTCGGCCTACTATACCACGCTGGCCAGACGGTTTGATATAGGGTACTGCGTCGTTTGCTCCCTAAGTTGACTATTGCGACACCCACGGAATGAATAGGGGTGGTGACACTCCATATTCTTAATCCGTCACCACATGGACATGTATCATTGGAAGATAGTTGTGACGTCATAAAGTTAGATGACGAAGACATTTAATGGAAGTGAATAATTTTGGAACTTGATAAATAATTTAGAAAGTTTGAAGTAGGTCAGCTTAGACCGAGTAAGTTTGTTTTTAATATTTAATAAGTTTAGGCACGGAGGAATTGGAATCCATCAAAATTTTAATGAATATTATACAGAGCCAGACTACATAATATTTGGATCGGGACTACAGAAAAGGATTAGAAATGAATTTGCATGAACATAAGCATCCAATGATAAAAAACTTTAAAAAAAACATCAAAGTTACCAATTTAAAATGGAAAACATCGCTAAGCTAATGGATTCATGAAATGAATAATTTATGTACTCGTATACCTTGTATAAACTCCTTCGACATGCCAACTAAAATATCAAAGGAACGCTATAATGGTTCTATAATGGCTAGTATCTGCATGATGGTAAAAGTCATGCAAAAGATTAAGAAAATAATAAACGTCATATTTAAAATTTAAATATAGAACTACTACGATTGACTTACCAGAATCCTCGAATGTTTTTAAAATTGTTGTCAAATTGTATAGGATTAATTATTATCTAAATAGGTTAGTACACAGTTGTATTATTTAAAAAATGCAGCAAGATTATCATAATTACACACACGTTCCATTGTTTCAACGTTCCAACAGTTACTGGCGCGTTGTAAATAGTAATTAGAAGTAATAACAGAGATAACAATAATGTGTTAATTCAAGGCTACGTCAGCGTTATTGTGTCGCGCAAGATAAATCTGTTATGTCGTCGAATGGACCCAACTTAGCTGAGGTTAGTGACTAATGATTCGGAATAATTATACTCGTAATACAAAATATTCATTCTATTGCTGTTAAATTCAAATTTATATAAAACCTGCAGTTTGTATGAAAAGTTATAATTTTCTCTACCAGAAACAAAACTAGGTCAAATCATGTCAGCAGACAGGTCATCTGATAACAAACGACAACTGCCGCTCCTGGACTGTACTAAGAGGCACAAGTGGGTTGTTGGGCTTTGAGTGCAACCCCCAGAGTCATTTGAGAATGTCAGAGAAATGCAACGATATAACTTCTTAACACCGTTTTTCTTTGAGGCCGGTCTAGTCTCCCCACAAGTGCCGAAGCACGGCTCATGGCCCTTCTCATATTTTTAGAATATTTAGTGTAATAATCAAACAGTTGCCGATTGTACTGAAAATTAAAATAAAACAATGCAAAAAAACTGGCATGCTTAAGCCACTACTCACGAATGATTTCATTTAACTGGTTGGAGTCTACTGATGGGATTGGATCGGCGTTTGGAACATCAGGAATCTCCGGTTGTTCAGGGTCTACGTAATCAGTCTCTTCAGGGCGTGGAGTTCCAATGGTGATAAGGGTGCTTTCGGTTCCCTTAGTTTTTTGGGTTGGAGTTCCATAGTCTTCGTCATCCGGTGGTCCGTTTGGAAGTTCACCTGATCCCGGCCGGCCGTCCTCGTCGTCAAGGCCAGGCCCACCGGCTCCCCAGCCGGAGCCTGAGCTCTCGTCCGCGTCTAAGCCCGATCCATCGTCAGCATCGTCAATGAACAGGTCGCGGTCTTGAGACTGAACGTCGTTCTGAACAGGAACTATTGATTCTTCTGTCGGTTTTTCTGCGACAGCGTCCTGGAATTAGGAAAAAATGAGACTTTAAATATCAGTGTTGAACTACTTTCTTATTTAATATGCATGTATGGACATACACTGGCTTGAAAAAGTTTTAAAAGCCTACATTGTTGAGTTTTTCATTTCTACTTTTTTAATATGTCAAGCACTTTTGAAGGTTCTATTTATTGAATTGAGTTTAACTAAAGTTATTAACATTTTTTTTTCAGTAATTCAGTGTATAATGCCTTGTATTGAAGAAGTTTGGTAGAAGTGTACAAATCAAAGTTATTCATACTTTTAGTTTAATATGAACAAAATAAAAATAACCAGAGGCTTAACAATAGAGATATTTTTAATAGTCATAATGACTGAAATGAAATAAAAATCAACAAGAAATGTAATTTGTAAATAATACCGAATATACCTAACTAACTTTAATAAGAAAAGGACAAACGCGATAAAATATTTAAGACTACTATGAAATACAATAATACATATATATTAATATAAAAATAAAGCTGTTTATTATGTTGTGTTTTTTCCAATCACGAAAAAGTATTGAAGAAACTAGAACATTCTCGAAATCTTTACACATATTATATTTATAACTGTATATTTTATGTAATACACATTTTAAACGGATTTGAAAATAATACTGAAATTAACATTTTAATGACAATATTGTACACTAAGAGCCGCATTTACGCTGTGACGTCTTTAAAAACTGAAAATAAAACACCGTTTCGTAAAGATACGCATCAAGTTCTATATTGATCATATTGCACTGAGATTAGATGACGTACCCAGCGACCTATTTTTCAAGAAAAATCTCGGCCATTAACAAACAAATCTACGCATCTAGCGACCCATTTTTTCTAACATGCCCCAAATATCACGGTCACGATATTATTGGTCACACAAATCTATGAAGCTTAAAGAATTTTATTAGAAAACTATTACAATAACAAATAAAATATACTCTACGTTTTTCTTATGTCAGAATGAATGAAAACAATTCATGAATGAAAATATACACTTTGAATATTAACACCGGCTTACCTGATTTAAATGTTATTTGATGTATAAAATTCGTTATTTTAGGCCAGATGGTATCACTACTGATAATTTTGATAGCAAATTGTCTGTTCTTTTCACCGTTGGCGTGAATTGTGGCTGCATGAGGGTGGATCGATAGGTATTTCGTGGGGGAAAGAGTAGGGGGGAGCGTCGGGAACATTCGGCGTGTTCACCCGGCGGCCGGTAGATGCCGGGATGACGGAAAATTTCATGCAGTGGTTAATTTTAGGCTGTTTTCAGGAGCTTTGTAAGTAGTTAACGTTTCGACGACTAGGTGGCGTTCTGTGGACTTGTTGCTTACAAATATTTTTGTCAGTAGGGAAATAAACACTTGCGGGATAGAACTTTAGTTGAGAATGCTGTAAAATTCATAAAAAATCTTAGAAATGGGAAACGATCTTAATGTATTGTACTTGAGAGCAAGAGGGAGAATATTATGGGTTCGAACTCGAACCTGATACCTTATCAGAATATTTAATATTATACGCATTGATTGTTATGGGTGCCGACCTCAAACTAATACCTTAGAATAATTTTTAATATTGCAGTAAAGCGTGTAATAAACCTAAATAACTAGAGACCAGTAGAAAAAATATGTATGTACATATTTCTACTTCACAGAATTGTGAATTGTTTTGTAACCTTCGCAAAAATTGTATGTACTAGATCTTTTGTGTTACTTTTTGTTACGATTCAATTAAATTGCAGTATGGTGGACTTTTTCCAGGGTTAGCCATGATCACGACCGTGATGATAAAGTAAATTAAATAAGCACTTTAAATAGAACGATTACAAATACGTCACAATGTCCATCCGAAGTGTAATTACTTACAGATTACTGTTAGTAAACACACTTCGGTACATAAAAGATTGTATTCGAATTAACCTGACCAGACTAATTAATTTGACGAGCCTGTTAGTATAGTGGTTAGTGACCATGACTGCTAAGCGGGAGGTCGTTCGTTCGATTTCCACCCAGGATAAATATTGTGTGATGAACACGATCATTTTGTTCTGTCTGGGTGTCATTTATCCATAATATGTATGTATTTAGAAATATATAAGTATGTTTATCAGCAGGCTGGTTACCATAGTATAGGCTCTGCTTAGTTTGGGATCAGACTGCCGTGTGTGAGATGTGTGAAGTTATTATTATTAAATTATTACCCTGTTCCTTGGTTACTGCAGTAAGTCGACCTTCTGTCTTCTGCGCGAGTGAGCTTCGTGAATTAAACTATAGCAGAAATTGTCTAAATCGAATGCACCTGACTGGTGACAACTTTTAAAATAGTATAGATATACTTGTTAAGACTATTGCTAGAGTTTAATATAAAAGGAATAGGATGAAGTCACATGATGTTGTAGGAGTAAAGTAGTTTGGCTTATCCTCGATAGATGGCGTTGGATAATATTGGAAGCAACGGTAATCGTTTATTATTATTATTGTCCAATTTTAAAAATGGCTGTAAATACGTAACTAGCAGTTGGAACTGCCAGGTGATTAAAAATAGCTGAATCGAAAAACAGATAAATAGAACACAAGATCATGATCCTTACAACCGCACATAAATACAAATTTCAACCATGACTTGAGATAGATCAAATATATTTTTTACTAATATTATATGAAAAATAATATTTTCTTTAATATAAAAGTAACATTAAACACAACATATTCTTAAGAAAGAGCTTAGCTTCTAAGAGCACGAAGGCTGCCAAAACAATTAATTTAGCCCTTTGATCTCGCAGTATAGAACATAAAACTGGAAGCTAAAGCTTTGCATGATATGACGATGTAAGTAATGTTGAAGTGTTGAAGGAGCGGTTGGAACAGACAAAGGGAGATGTTTATAATGATTTAGTACAGTTTAATCTCCCGGAATACAAGCACAAATTAACAAGGAGCACAAATAAAATTTTGGTAATGATAATCATGCATACAGTTATCATCAATAGCCTCTAATATTCCAATGCTGGACATAGGTCTCTCCCTAGAAAAATAGCAAACTACGCAAGACAACAGCACTGCAAAGAGAAGTAAAACTTGACACAAATCCTATACCAACCCGTCTGGCCAGCGTGATATAGAAGCCAAATCCTCCTTTTTAAGAAGAGGCCTATATCCAGCAGTGGACTATTAAAGGCTGTTGATGATGATGATACAAACACATTGCCATACGATATTTTGATAATAAAGATAAATTGGCCAACCATTATATTATTTAAAGGAATACGATAAAAAACACTCGTGGAGAACAGAAACAAAATTAGACATTATAACAATAACATCATATTATATCAAACGAGGTCTTTGGGCTCAACGCTACGAGCTGTGGACAGGATTAAATTAGGAGATCATCAGAAATGACGAAATACGTAGACGAATGAATAAGACTGAGTATATTTGTGAGTGTAAAACAATCCAACGGATCAGAACGTAGAACAGATGATCCGCCGTAAGTTTCTAGAGTGGACACCACGGACCAGAAAGTTGGGCGTCGACCAACGAGGTGGACGGACCTTGTAAAGGTCATCGAGGGAAGTTTATGTCCAGCAGTCGACGTCCCCTAGCTAAAACAATGATGATGATGACGATGATGTTAATTCTGTCGTCAGGTTTCTGCTCTTTTTTCTACCTAGTTTTTACACAAATATTAATAAAGTATTTTTGTTCGGTTTCTTTCAGACGCTCCTTGCGTATTTCAGCGATTTTAACTTAATAAAATAAATATTTGACTCCTTCAATTTGAATTTAAAATCAGTCTTTCAGTACTGCTATCTACCCATCTTCTAAAATTTATTTCAAAAATGTAGTCTGGAGATTTGTGCCTTCTGTTCATTAACCCGACATTTTGTTATCTTTTTATATAACTTTACAAATCTATGATTTATTTTTCATAGAGTACGACAATGGAGTACGAACTATGAAAGCTACTCACAAAACTACTCACAAAACCCGAATGATTTCTATAATGAATATAACATTCATGAAACACTAAGTAAAGTTCTTGGAAGTTAAATGACATTGAAAGCGACGCTAAAATTTCCCGTATTGAAACAAAACGTCTAACAACTTTGTGATGTTTTCAACTTAAATAATAAACATACTCGTCAAACGACAGATTATAATGTCACGTCATCGTATAATACTAGTTTTTTAGGCATAATATTAGTGTCATTGAACGTAGCCGAAGCTCGAATGCTGAGATGGATGTGAGGTGTGACTCTGGTGGACAAAGTTAGGAATGAGTATAGACGAGGGAGTCTGAAAGTAGCGCCATTGGATGAAAAGTTAAGAAGTAATAGGTTAACTTGGTATGGAAATGTCATGCGGAGGGATGAAGAAAATGTGGCAAAGAAATTGTTAAGTATGGGCGTTGAAGGGTACAAGAGAAGAGGAAGATCAAAGAAAAGGTGAATGGACTGTGTTAGTGAGGATATGGCTAGGAAGGGAGTAAACAGTGAGATGACGAATTATAGAGTAAAATGGTAGAATCATACTTACTGCGCTGACCCCAAATAAAATTGGGATAAGCGTAGGCAGACGTTGATGATGATGATTAGTGTCATTGTTTTTTCCTATTTCAAATGGGGAAAGTTCTCAATTCGTTTGTCCTTTGTTGTTTTATCCCACTGCGCCAGAAGGAAGGTTATGTTTTTCGAGTTTATGTAAAATTTATGTAAATTTCTTTGGCACTCTCTGTAGCCTTAACGGCTTCATGGATTTCGACAGAGGTGTTTAGATCTTGATTGTGAAAGTGACCTACCCAAGGTATAAAAATTTAAAAAATAATCGCCGGTTTGTAAATTTTAAGTTTTCAATTACACTGTCGGTTGCGTAAACCAATTTTCAGAGCTACGTAATTTATGAAGTTTGTTTTTTTACTTTCGTTTTGGTCACAACCATATTTAAAAAAAAATACTACCCCTATAGTTTATTACAATTCATCATTATATAGGCACTTTGTAGTCGATGATACTTTTGTTAAAGTTAATTATTGATTGCCGTAATATAAGGAACTTGTATGCCTTACACTAAGTAATTTCGTTCTATTTATATTTTAACGATAAATAAGGCCTTTTTTAAATAGCCCTATTAAATTATACTTATAAGTGTTCACATAATAAATGACCAGAAGATTAGCGTACAGTACCAAGGCTCGTAAAATATGTACAGGTCACCCCGCCCACATTGTACCCCAACAATAAATAATATTTCTCATTACCCTGGATGAGATTTATGATAAAAGTCCAACGTAATCACACGGAATACTATAGTACCTGTTTTATGTTTCATGGTGTGGATGATGAACGATCATTACTAAAAAGTGACTAAATACGCGAGAAAACACCATTAATAAGCTGTTGGGATATGTAATATGGTGTGATAAAAATTTATACATATAGCAAGGACACGCTTAAATTTTGACGTGTATGATTTTCAGACTATATGTGTAATTCAGATTAGTGTTATTTGTTTTAGTATGAAACTGTACACACACGGATACACGTGTTTTGATTTTTTTTCTAATTTTGTAACTAGCTGACTTGTACGTCTTTCAAAAGGAATACATTAATTTAGTATTTGCAACATTTTTTTATTGATGCTTGACTCGTATTTTATATAGCGTGATTTTATATAGTCTATGGCCTTTCTCTATAAATCAGTTATTACACTAATATAATTTTTCAATTTAAATC